CGCGCTCCCCGCAGCGCCCCGCACCCCGTCCGCGCCCCATTGGGGGGGTCCCCCCCGCAGGGCATGCGGCGCCCCGGACGGAGCCCCCTCCCCGCGGTGAGTAGCAGCCGGCGCGGGGTGGGGGCTTCTGGGATGGGGGGCAGTGGTCTCGGGCCACCTCGGAATGGGGGGACAGCAGAGGACAGTGGGCGGGGCCTGATGGGGAGCCGAGGCCGTGGGGGAGGCGGCGGGGCGGGGGCGCCGGGCCGCGAGTTGTGTGTTGCGGTCGGCCGGGCCGGGGCGTCTGGGGGTCGCTGTGCACCCCGCCGAGGATGGGGCGCGGGGGGCGCGGGTCTGGACCCTTCTTGGGGCGGGAGCCCGGCCCCCCCGCTGCCCCTCCCACCCTCCACACCGCGGCTGCTGGGGGGCGCTTGCCAGCGATGGGGAGGGGGAGAGGCGGGCACGGGGTTTCCTTGGTGACCGCGCCTGGCAGGAGCGGTTGCCGTGGCAACCGGGGAGAACCGGGGAGTTTGGGAAGTGAAAATGGGAAAGATGGAGGGGGTGACGGGAGTGAGACAACCCCCTCCCCAGTCCCCAGCCCGGCCCCCTCTGGGGTCACCCAGCCCCTCTCGGTGGGCAGCCGAGAGCCCCCACCGCCCCCTCCCGGGACCCCGTGCTCGCCGGGTCGGTGGGGCTGGTCCTCCTTCCGCACGTGCCGCTCTGGGACCACTGCCTCTCCCACCCGCCTCAGCCTCCGTCCTCGGGGACCCCCTCACCCCACCTGCTGCCGCGCCAGCCTTCCCGCCCTCACACCTGTTCTCGGGGCCTTCTACCTGCTCCACCTGCCCCTCGGGCTCCTCCCCGCCGCGCTGGTCCCCCAGCCTCTCACCGGGACGGGCCTCCTCAGACCAGCTCTCCCTGAGACCCTCGCCCTGGAGCTCTTCCCAGACCCTCGGTTCCTTGCAACCCCCGGCTTCGCAGGCTCAAGGCCCAGGCCCTGCCCCAGGTGGACGCTGCTTTCCGGGCTCCGGCTTCCTCGGGCTGCTCAGACCAGAGACCAGCGGACGCCCCCTAGCCGCGCACCCCTCTCCCCCAGGGCACTCCCACCTGGCTCTGCTGCGGGCCCTGCCCCGGGGTGACTTTCTCAGGGGTGGGGGCTTCCCCTGAGGAGTGGCCAGCTGGGGAGGGGGAAGGGGAAGGCGCTCGAGGCCGCCCCGGGCCCCCTCCCCGCCCCCTCCCCAGCTGGGAGCCGCAGCCGCGCCTCCCTCCGCAGCGCCCCATTGCTATGCGCCTCACATCCCGTCCGGCCGCGCAGCCGCCAGACAGGAACTCCGGCTCCCCTGGCAGCTGGGAGTCGCCAAGTCGGTTCCCTCCTGGTCGGGGCAGCCGGCAGCATCCTCGCCCCTCTAAAACCATCCCCTCCAGGACCCTGGCCGGGAGGAGCACCTCCCTCTGCCTTAGCATCTCCTGCCTCCGGCCTGCTAACCTGCATCCGGGCTCCACCTCCCCTTGCCCCCTCCTCCTGCCGCCGGGGCCCTCTCTCATTGTCCACTTACACACACCTAAGGAAGGGACAGGCAAGCTGCAGAGGCTGGCGGGAGGCGTGCGAGCTAGGAGAGAAGGGGTGGGAGCCAGAGAGAGGCAGAGCGGGCGTGAGGGGGGACCCAGCTTCCCAACACACACACACAGTCAGGGTGCATCACTGTGGAGCCAGACATACGCACTCACTTATTCCCAAAAGAGAGGGAGAGTCGGGTGACGGAACGCTCACCGTTCCCACACGGAGTGAGCGGGCAGACACACGGGTGCCGGGGACCCAGGAGCCGGGACAGACACACCCCCTGCGAGAGCCTCAGCCCCCTGCCAACTGGGACCCAGGGGACCCCCCATTGGCACAGAGCAGAGCTCGGGGAAAGACGCAGAGGTGTGTGTAGGCAGAGCTACCCGTGCGCACGCACACACACAATTATTCGGCGGCAGCCAGGGGCCCAGATGTGGCATCCACAGAATCAGAGACCTGGTGACAGATGTGGTCGTGGTACTCGGAGTCTGCCAGGGGCCGGGAGAGGCGGGAGCAGTCCCTAGACCTAGGTACTGGACACAGGGGCGACACACACGGGCCCCTCCACCCAGGGCCTGGAGGGAGGACAAAGCCAAGGCCCTCACACAGACCTCACAGGGACACAAAGCCGGGACTCAGAGGTGGCCCCGTGTGCTGCTGATACAGCCGAGCAGCTGTGCACACACAACACGCCTGCACGCACACAGGTGCACGCACACAGGTGCACCCCAGACCCGAGCCCAAGGAGAGGCCCCCATGTGCTCTGGAATAGGCCCCAGTGGTACCACCCAGAGCTCCCCTGAGATCTCCTGGCTGTCCTGGAGGACAGCGGGGGAGACCTCCGCTTGCGGGGGCTGCGTGCAAAGGTGGTGCTGAGGCCCTGCTGCCCATGCTGCTTCCTGCCGGTTTGCCGCTGGCCGAGGGCCCTCGCCCCAGCCCCACGGAGCACCTTGCTTTCCTGCTGCTGGAGGCCCTCATGTGGCCCCACTGCCCCTCCTCTTCCCTGGCCCTGGCCCTGTCGCCTGGACCCATCTCTGAGACACCTCCCTGTCCCCGTCTCTCCGTCTCCCTGGGGCTGACCCCTCGCCCTGCTGGGCACCGGCCACGGGTCTCTCGCCCGCTACCCCGCCTTCCCCCACCCTGCACTGGTCCTCCCCTGCCAGCCTGCCTGACCCCCGACCCACTCCCAGGTCCTGCTGCCTCCAGACCTGGGGACCACGAGTGCCATTTCTCACACACACACACACACACACACACACACACACACACACACACACTGCTTTCAAATCTGTTTGCGGCCAACATTTTTTTAATAGCAATTTCACATGAAAATCCAGATTCTCCGCTCCGCTCCTTGGAAATCTGCTTGGCCCATCGGTCGTCACAGGGGCTGCGCCCAGGGCCCCCCCCCGCCCCCCGCTCCACCTGCTTCCTCACGCAGCTCTCGCACCTCCAGCTCGGCTCAGTCAGCTGAGTTTGCACCCCTGCTATTTTCTCTCCCCTCTTCCTCTCGCTGCTGGCTCTGGTTTCGCCCTGTCACTCTCCGGTCTCCGCGCCTGGGTTCCTTGCCAGGGGCTGTCTCTGTCCCTCTCGTCCTCCACCCTCCTGCCCTAACTTGGAGCCTCGCTGGCCTGGGCCCCCGTGGCCACCTGAGCTGGCCCACAGCCCCACCCTTGTGCCAGCACAGGGGCGGGACTGGCCTCCCGTGGGACACGGGGCATGGTCCCCACGGCCAGCTGCAGCCGTGGGCCTGAGGTTCTGACCAGGAGTGGCTTCACGAGGCCACACCTCCGAGCAGGTGTCCCCTGGCTGCGTGACAGGGCTCGGGCAGCTCTTTCTGCGCTATGTGGTGGGGTCAGAGCCCCGTCTTTGCTCCTCCCTGGCAGGGTGCGGGGCAGCTCATCATCGCTGACTTCAGGGCCCCTCCATCCTCTTCCCTCCGGGCCCCGGGGTGGCTTTGCCAGAAGGGGGTCGCAGGCGAGTCCGAGTGGCAGGATGCCCCATGTTGCCTGGAAACCCACTCCTGCCTGCTATCATGGCAGGCGGAGGCGGAGGCCCGCACAGGCCTGGGAGACAGCTGCTGGGGGCCTGCAGCTGAGCAGCAGGCACGGTCTCCAGAGACCCCGGGCCCGCCAGGGGGGCCGAGATGAGACTGTAGGAGCTGCTGGCCGGTGTGATTGGGCCCTGGCGGAGGGCTGAGCAGAGTGCAGGGCTGAGACCCTAAGTGGGGACAACAGCCACTGCCGGGGCCACCCCGTCCCATCCCTGTCCCCTAGAACCTTTGCCCGCCTGGCAGCTGAGCTCTTACTGCCAGAGCTACAAGGGGCACAGCTTGGGGCGGAGTGCCCTCCTCTCACCTGGATTCCCCCGAGGGCGCAGCAGGGACAACGGCTGACATGTCCTGGGAGTCCCATGAGCCGGCACAGGCCGAGCACTTCTTGTGACTTCGTTCCATTCAAGCTTGTAAAACTCCTACAAGGGAGGCAGAGACTTCAGCTCGAGGGTGACGCTCAGGGAAACTGAGGCCCAGAGATGCGCTGCGCTGGGACACGAGGCCCTTCGGGGGACGTTAGCACTGCTAATAACGACAGCAAAGCAGTTCATGACAGTAGGGTCTGGGAGCCGAGGCAGGAGGATCACAAGTTTGAGCACAGCCTGAGCAACTTAGCAAGACTCAAAGTAAAAACTAAGAAAGGCTGGAGATCTAACTCAGTGAGAAGACCCCGGGTTCAATCCTCGATATCACAAAACAAAAATACAGTAATAGACTCAGAAGGTTGGAAGTGCTTTTGTTTGTTCGTTTTTGGCTTTTTTTGAGACAGGATCTTGCTGTGTCGTTCAGGCTGGCCTTGAAAGCTCACCGTGTAGCCCAGGCTGACGTCAAACTCCCAGTGATCTTCCTGCCTCAGCCTCCTGAGAGCTGGGATTAGAGGTGTGCGCCACCACGATGGGCCTTGGAGTTTTTAAGACTTTGAGAGTTCCTATAGTGGGGGCCCTGCCAGTGTGGGGGGCGTGGGTCTTCTCTGACCGTGCTGGCATGGGGTCTGCTGAAATGAGCGCTGGGGTTCCGTCGAGGTGTGCACTCAGAAATGGGGGCCGTGGCTGAGGCCCGGGAAGGGCGAAGGATCTGTTCTTCTGACTCAGTGAGAATACATAGCGACCACGAATGCAGCCGCCACGGAGGGCCAGCACTGTGTGTGTCATCCTGTGTCCCTGCCATGCTGGCCAGGCACGCTGGGGACCCAGGCAGCTGAGGTTCAGGGCAGCACCCCGGGACGCAGCCCCCCGCCGTGCTAGGGCAGACGGTGCTCACTCTTCCCCCGGAAGCAGAACGTGGGAGCCGGACTGGTGATAGACTCTCCTAGCTCGGGCACCCCAGGGCTGCTGGGGGCGCGTGGTGCCGTTGTCCTGGGAAAGGCAGCGTCAGCCTCTGCACTCTGGGTCCCAGGCACAACTTGGAATCTGCATTGTTTTGGGTTTTGGTTTTTGATACTCAGGATGGAACGCAGGGCCTTTGCACTGAGCTGCATGCATCCCTAGCCCTTTTTTTCATTTT